GGAATGTCCCTTTCTTGACAAGATCCCTGGAATGCAAATCAGACACCACTGTGTGAAAATGGTGTCTGTTCAAACTGTTAACAGAATAGCATAAAGGTTTAATGGAAAAGACATAATAGTTTTCACAACAGAACCAAATGAATTGATTAAAATTTTGCAGCCTTCTTCAACACCTAGGACTGCCCTCTATTTTTTATATGTAATTTTTTAATGATCATTTTTCATAAATGTGTCAACCAGGTTTTTGCGAAGTGCCCCAAACAATACTGTCTGGAACCTAAACTATATAATAATTGTTTCACAACATTCCATAATTTACTTCTCTAAGCTACAGGCTAGAAGCAAAAAGTATAAAAATAAAATGGAACCGAAAATGAAGCATGACAAACTTCTGATTAGATGCTTCCCACCACCAGTTTTGAAATACTGATGAAGTTTTAATGATTTTCAGCATACAGCATTTCATAATGCATCTTGTTCTCTTAGCCATTTTCTTCTGCTTCAGTAATGAGCTGGGTCACCTGGGTGATTTAAAAAACAAACAGTTGTAAGGAGACAAGACACACTAACATCAACACTGAAACAATTTTGTAAGTTATAGCCTGTTGCAGTGTAAGATTTAATGACCTGTATTATGCAGATGATTAAACCACCACAATGATGCATTCTGGGTTTAGTGATCTATGTGTTAATTATCCAACTCAGCACTTACGTTTTGAACCTTGAGCTTTGCAAGTTTTAATGCAAGCACTAAGTTTTACAGAATCTGCTACTCTCTGTTAGCATTGCTCATGAGATAGTTTTTAGATTTAATTTTCTAATGCTTACAAAAATAAATATAATTTTAATTATATACAGTAAGAAGCCTAAGAGTGAGATACAGTTTCTGTATCAGTAAAATCTAAAATGATGATTGAGAACTATGCTAACAAGATATTAATCAGTATTATGCAAAAGAAAAAAGAAAAAGAATCCAAAAGAGTGGATTTTTCCAACATGATAAACATAAAGGCCACAATTTTCTCTGTAAATACAAAATTTTGTCCATGTGCAACACCACTGACTTCACTGTTTGGATGGTCATCATCCTCAGTAACTACACATGCTCTTAGGAAAATCTGCACTGTATCAAATTTCAAATCTTGCTCTTCACATTTTGCCTCTATCTTTGGATATCTTCTTTTCCTGCTGCTTTTTTAATTTTTTTTTTTTTGAGAGGAGGAATGGGACAACAAGCTTTCATTTCTCTCCCATCATATACCTCCCGTATGAGAAGAGATGTTATAACTTCATGCACTGAAAATGCTGAAGTACAAAACTAAGGATACTGCGATTCCAAAGCATGTAAACAGCTGAAACCCCCTCAGTTCCATAAACATCCACTTGAGCCAACCCCATTCAAAGATTGCTAAAAATCTAAGAAAAGCATGAAATTGTTGAAGATTACATAGATGGACACAATTATCAATTAGGTTGAGATGAAGATCAGTAAAGAGATAAACACAGTTTTAAGTGTGTCACCCATTTTCTATGTGACATAAAGTGTTACTGACATTTTTTTCCCCTGGTACAATTTCTATACTTCATGATTTAAAATGGGATTTCTACATAACTGCCTAATATTTTTAGCCTGAAGGTCGTAATTAAGTTAAGTACCTCTGATTATTTTTAGCTGAATGGGTATGCAAATAGAAGACATAAGAACATTGTTGTAATCTCTAAAACAGTTTCTTAATAAACACAAGTAATGACTTGAAGAGGGGCTTTTGTAGTACCAATTTACCAACATATGATCCTATGGTGCTGTTAAAAATTGCATGCCCTCTGTTATTTTACAGTTCTTTAGTATTATTTATATAACTCTGTTTAAAATGAATTAATCATAATTAAACATACATCACTGAAATGGAATCACAAAGTGAAATACAGCAACTTTTAAGAAATAATTCTGATAATAAGCATTTAAATTAGAATTCTGGACAGGAAAAAAATTTAGTTCTCTTAAGTAAGTTTACAGAAGTAAAGCATGACAGATTCTTTCTCTCCTCAGCAGTGATGTGGTTCCCTGAGGTTCTCAGTCAGCTGAGATAGACAGATAAAGTTACTTAACTAGAAGCATTGAAAGTAATAGCAATTTTTTGCTCTTGTAAGGAAGGGCTGCATTTTATAGGAAGGTCATTTTGTTTCACTGGTAGATGATGTTTACACCAGTAATATCATGTTTCAATTTTTTCAACAGGTTTCAGCAACGAGGGTATAAGTCTAAAAATAAAGATATAATCCACAATTAAGACACAAACCGTTGTGAATTAACATGAACAACAATTCAGTAGGGATATGACACATTATTCATGGTAAGCAAACCTGTAATACACCTGACCTAGTTTATGTCCTAAAACTTGTAATCAGGAATATCTAATGATGTAAAAACACTTCAGACTTTCCAGTGTCAAATGGTCAAAACAATGTAGCTATACTGGGATGCTAGTGTGCTTCAGCTGATGCCTTTAACTTCAGCTTTAGTGATTCCAGCCTCACAGCATGCTTAGACCTAACGTGGCAAGTGATTACCAAACTGAATAGCCTCAGCTTTGAGTTACTTCCTCCATAATCACACAGTTCAGTTATTCTGTAAAGTCCATGAAAAGATGCTCTCATAGACAAAAAAATACCTCAATGGTAACTATCCCATCATCTTAGTTTGCTACCTGTACACTTGTATTCCTCACCGAGAAGGAACGTGGGATCTTCTCCTTCGGTCTGGATGACCTGATCCATACTCTCTACCTGGAGGGAGGAGAGGAATTAAATATTTTTAATTAACATTAAAGCAAGAAAACAAGAACTTATTCAGATAGTCTGCAAGAAAAACTACATTCATATATATATTGAAAAAACATATCCCTTTCCAGTTCATATATAATTATGGCTATATTTTGAGATGTTGGAGCATAGTCCATGGTGGCATTGCTCTTCTTAAAGCAACTGGCCCACTCTAACTGTTAAATCTAGTCCAACTCATGGGTCAGCATAGTGAATCATACAGGTCATAGACTGTGGTTGGTAGATCAGACTGCATGAATTCAGTCAAGGAAAATATACTATTTAGAATCAGATATAAGCCATACTAACAAACATTTTCATACTGGTCTAAGTGTGCCTGTGTACAATGCTGCTTTAATTATAGATTCCTATAAGCAAAGTAGTACTAAAACTGTGAATGAAATCTTTTTTTCAGCACTAAAGTTCTGCCAAGTCCCACCTACATTCCAGTTCTATCAAAATCCTGTTAACCAGAAATATGCTTGAACATAGAATATACAACATAAGCGTGGAAGCCTTGATTAAATACATAGCAAATGAAAACTTGCTACAAACTCAGATCCTTCCGTAAAATTGTACTACGTTCAGCTACATGGTTTACAGTGTGTTAGGACTGAAGTGACTGCAGCCTTCTGATGCAATTACATTCCATGAAGAAATAGGACTCTGGATAATTCCCTTTTTTCTTGGACAAAGGAGTTTCTCTTCAGTGAGACATATCTCCAACAATCCTATTTTTCTCATATCTTCCCTCAACACTCATCTTTCCCTTTCCCTGAAAAACTGCTTTCAGTTTTCCATAAAAGCTTTTCTCTGAAGACCTTGTTTTCAAAGAAACATAAATCTCTTTTTAAGGATTTGTATTTTCTAAGTAGAATATTTTAAAAAACAAAAGCTGCATATTTCCCTGAAATTATTATCCATTACTTCTAGCTCTCTGACAGCTCTTATTCGTTATGTCCTCATCCCTCCCCTGGGTTCATCCTACAGAGAGTTCTGATGCTTACCTTATCACTGGCAGAAATTCTATATCTTTGCAATATCTTTCATTGTACTTCTAATACGTTAGGGTATCCTTAATTTCAACCATTCATGTAGCTGTTACAACTAGTCCTGTAGACACTGTCTCTCCTATTCGCTTTCCCTTATCTTCAGCTCACTTTTCAGACAGGTTTTCAAATACTAGTATAAGAACCATTGTCCAAATCACTGAAATTTTAAAATATAGCTATAAAATATGTAAGACAATGCACTGATAAGGTTAGACTTACTTTTTTTTTTGCTATCTTTTTATGTTAATTTAGATCTAGGGGGTAATTTGTATGCTATGACAAACAATCTCAATGTTTATCAGCTGGACTGTTGAGAGTGGCAATGACATATGATACTCAATATCATGATTTCCACCGTTGTTAGTGCTCAGTTTATTTTCAGCTGTTTGTGGAACGAGGCAACGTGATTCAAAACAATGTATTAGTGGTGTTAACTTCTAATGAATGAAGTTTTGTCTACCAAGAGGCAATACAGCATATAACATGGTGTTTCAAACATGAAACCAGAATCTGTAAAGTCATGGTTTGTTACAGATGTCTATGCTACCTTGAGCAAGGCTTTAAAACTCAAAGATTGTGAAGTGCTGCAATGCAAAGTTTCATATCTCAATAACAGAAGCCTAATCTTAGATTTAAATTAGATAGCTAAGATTTGTCTAACTAGCATCAGAAATGAACAGACACTCAGAATGCGATACACAACAGTCAACATGCTAAATAGGAAGTCTTCCATATTAACAAACAAGAAACACTAAGGGAAAATCTACCTCCCCATGAGGCTTAGATGTCCTGCTCTGAGTTACACAGATACACTCTCAATTTGTGACGCACAGACAAGAAATTTATGAAGAGAACTTCAAATAAATAAATAAACATTAAAACCTCCCAAACTACCCCATGCCCCCAAACCAGAAAAAATACAGTTGAATTCCCTTCTCTCAAAATACAGGTACAGGATGAGATGTTAATTACAACAGATGAGTGTTTAGTATTCACCATAAAATGAGGGATGCCTGTGTTCAATTCTTGTTCTACCTAAGCAGATTCAAACCATTATTTCAGAGAAATACCAGTGCTTCTTAGGTTTATGCTTTACTCTTTCCTCCACTGTTATTGACATTGTGTCACAAAATCCTTAAACATTAACTGATAAGAGAGAGCAAAGGCTACCTAATGGTTAGGTACACTCCTGACACAGAAGATACAGGTCCCGTGGTTACTGTTCCTTTAATTTTTAATGTATGCAATACAATGATATAGGTATACTATGCAACAGCAGGAACCACAACAGTATACCATGCGAATGTATATAAAGGATGGGATAAATAGGTAATATTACTAGAAAGTTTTATCACGTAAGCTATCACAGAACACAAAATTGCTACTTTTTTGTTCTTTTCTCTCTCTCTTTGGTGAGACACACACATATAGCAGAGAAAACAGCTACATAATGAAGCAACTCATTGTTTCGTAAGCAACTAATTGCAACTCCTGTCTTAATATTAGCAAACTTAGGAAAAAAACTTTGTCAAAATGAGTAATCTTGGCAGATCAGCTTAAAAGGAGCTCTAAAACATTGCAGGGCTCTTTTGTAAGGACAGATACATTTTTCCAATAAATCTATGTTAATTATAAGAGAGGCAATTTAACTGCACTTATGGGATCATGTTTTAAGAGTGTCCTGAGGGCAGTAAATAGGTCTAGTGTAGAAGAAGCCAAGATGTTTTAAAAATGCTACTGAAACATATTCATAACACTGTTCAGCACAGTTACTGTAAAACATGCTTTGTGGAATACATGTAGTTGTAAGATTTCTGGAGCTGGTCAGAGATGACCCAACCCTTGAGTAGCAGGCTTCTTGCGATGACCACGATAACAATGACCAGTTTTGCTTCTGCTCATGGTCAGCATACACACTCTATATTTTACCTTTACACTTTACATACACAATCAATCTTATCTGTGAATCAAATGATACTGTCTCTCAAGCATACAACAGTGGCAGCTGAAACACATTAAAGACTTTACTGGATTTATTTATTATTTATCCTTCTTTAGTCATATTATCAATCTCTGAAAACTTCGCTTGGAAACACAGAAGCAATTTAGGCTCTGCAGACTTAACAAAATAATTGATCTTTCTTAGACACTTCTTTTCCTTTTATTTTTGTATCTCCAGATAATAATGCTACACTCTACCTCACCTTGCATAGTTAGTTTTTGCTAACGATAGTACACAACTACAGCTGATACAAGTTTTGTTACAGATTGCTTTAGCCACAAGATAACTGCATACATAGAAACGCAACCTGCACATAGACACAGAGCTGTTGTACTGTTGATAGAGACAATTCTAAATACACACATGTGCACACAGTTTTTTTACCTTGTGGTTGAGGATTTCTCCATAGGAACCCCCTCATCTGGTTATGATATGGAGGAACAAAAGAACTTCTGTGTGTTTGCTGGAACCTTGGATTAAATTCTCTTTGCCATGTTCCTGAAAAACAGTATTTACTAAGCAACTCTAACTGCACGATTGAAGGAAGAAAATGAGAGACAGTGTATTCTTTTTTTGGAAATGACATTTCTTAGTTTTATGCCAAAATACTTATGCACAATTACAATTTCTCCAAACTAAAGTCAGACTAATAAGCATGGTTCTGTCTTTCCATCTATGCACATCATGATTACAAGCTGTTAACAAGTATATTTGGAAACCAGATCAAAATTTTATGACACAGATTTGGAGACTGCAGTCATTACAACAAACAGAAATCTCTGTCCAAATTGAAATCACAACTCATAATTTAAATGGTTAAGTACAGCTTTCAAGCAATAGCAGATGCTAACAAGGTCTGGTATCGTAAATCACCAACAGATACCCTTAGTTTTGAATGTCCAGCACCTGGATGGTGTAGTACCACAGCAGAAGTATTGCTGACACATAATGCAAAGTACTGAATAACAGAAAATCATTCTACTGTAATTTGCTCAAGGAATTTTGAAGGGGCAATTTTTATCTTCACAGACACAACTGATCAGGTATTAAGCAAATAATAAACATAATAGCAGCACAAGCACCGCAATTCAGTGTGAATTATTCCAAAGCCTCAAAATCCCTAACATGACCTGTGAATGATGCTAAAAACCTTTCAATGTTTTTTTACCCCTAAAAGTCAGGCAGATCAAGTGGGAAATGTCTTTAGTAAACTGAACCATAAAGTTGGCAGGAGAGGAAGCAAAGCCTTGGGCAAAAAATAAAAAGGCATTCTCCGGGTTGCCCAAAAGCTTTCTTATATTTGGAACTATATCAGTCAGTCCAATAAGGAGTATTCTCTCTTCAGTGCCTTACTCAGACTTTCAACTATCAACATTAAAATAGCTCCCCTGAGGGAAAGAAAAAAAACACCTTTGAGTCATCTAATTCCTTCTATGAAAAATAACTTTAGTCACTGAGTAAATAGCAGTGATGTTTCAGTCAGTGAAAGATATTTACTGTGTAGACTTCACTACCTGTGTAGCTAGATGGAAGTACTATTCTATCCAAACTTGGGTAATCCAATTCACATAAATTCCTAAAACCAGGAAATATCTTCTGAGATCTCTCCTTCGGGTTATTGGAGAAAGACTGATGGGCTGCCTATGTAAATGCTGCTGCTGTTGAAAGATAATTGAGCTTATCAATATATTGACTTATTAAGAAAATCAACATAATACCAACCTGTGACAAATCCATTCCCTCTTGGTCTGCTGTGTATTGTTCTTTTCTTTGCCACGCAAGCCTTGCAAATGAAAGACTTCAGATTCTGGAAGGGTGTATACAAAGACTCCTGCAGACAAGAGGGTTAAAAATCAATGGCTGTGATGCAAAAGGTGTAGCACAAATCAATCGCATACACAACAAATTAGCCACACTCATGTATATATGAAAGTGGTAGATCTGGTTCACTTTTTTTTTTTCCCAGGAAACAAAGTTCAAACATTTCATATTAAAAGTGGATTCTTGGGAGAGATGGGTAGAGGTGCAGAATGAATGTTTTCCCCTTTTTCAATGAAGTTTGTTTCTCTTCTCTGGTCACACCTGTGTATCACTTGCTTTTGTATTCTATTACCTTGTATCTGTAGGCATACTTAACTAGTCTTCTATAAGCAATACCTCAGGCAGAGATGGTTAAAGCCTCCAGATAAGGACTGATGAACTCATGGAAAACACACTAGTGAAAATCAAAGTATCTTAATCGCATACAGTAGAAACAAAACTTAACACCATAGTAATGCATCAGCTCTAACTCCTGACTGATAAAATATAACCAAGTTTAAAGAGAAATGGGGGAATTAAATAAAAAAGTTTACCTTTTGATGTGATGAAAAATTCTATTGTCAAAAGGACAGGCTGAAGCTATTTAAAGACGCAATACTAAAAGATGTGACATAACCTTAATTTTCATTGATTTCAATGAGCTTTGAATTGTCAGATCTTAGAAGCTTTTTTATTGATTTGCACTGAGCATGTAGTAGTAATACACTTATAGAAAAGAATTATGAAAGGAAAGATTTAAGAGCAATAGCACAATTTGTGATTTTCATAAAACTGAACTGATCTTAAAAGGATGACAGTTCCTTTTGCAACCACCAAGTTGGAAGGGGAGCAGGAAGGAGAGGAGAAGATTTCACTGTATTTTTGGGAAAATAAATTTGGAATGTGTTTATGAAGGTTGGATGAAAGACATGATCAGAAAAGGACAAAATGTATCATTTACGCTGACCCAATTAGGTAATTTGGTTTTAATTAAAAAAAATTGATCATGAACACACTCATTACCGAGAAGCACAATAAAAAGGCTAATAAAGTGATAATATCATTGCCTCACTGCTTTATGAGACTATTATATCCAATTTTCTGTGTGGATAAAAAAACCTAATATGATTACTGTTATGAAAAACAGAACTAGATAATACGAGCTTAGCATATTTTTTTTAAAAAACAAGATGGTTCTATTTTTGATTCTTATCAGAAGCTTCCCATTTTTTATCTTTCACAGCTGCTAGGCTACAAAGAGCTGACCTACACAAAAACTGGCCCACAAATGTATCAACTGCATATAATTTATACATTTTCTTGTTTTGGTACAAGAATCTGTGGGAAGCAAACCCTAAAATATTCAAAATTTCTGGTATACGTGTAAATATTTAACCAAGATTGTACTTCTACTGCAATTTTATAAAGCTATTAACTGTGTTTAAGCCCATCATAATCAAAACAATGGTTCTGAGATCTCCTGAACTCCCTGAAGTAATGTAACTGTCCAGATCATAGAGAAGGGGCCTTAGGAGTTAGGAGATGAGCACCAAATACCAAGAGGAGTAACTTTTTCCTATCCTGTTACTTACCTTTTCTATAATAAAAAATTCCCACATAGAATATCTCTTTTCTGAACACAATGCTGTTGCTATCATCAGATTAGATTTATGGTGCTCAAGGGCAGACTGTTAACACACAAGTGCTGAAAGATCTTGGCTTCCAGCAGTACATTAGGGTCTGCCAGGAACTAAGAACCAGTTGAACTTATAATAATAGGAAAAACCACTCACATATGCTTGTTGCCTTGCCAGTGTCCCCAGCTAAACTGGCATCTCTTGGCAATTCTCCCCAAAACAGATTCTTGCCTCAAACTGATAAGCTGGAAAGCTGTTTTATTAGTCTGGGAGTTATCTTTGCCATATATGTACCATAAAATTGTACCTAAAAAAGAAAAAGGTATTTAAGCTACTCTAAAAATTCACTGGGCTAGACTGTTCTTCCCCACAACAGAACAGTTTATCTGGGGTTTGTTTAAACTAGATGTCGTGGTCTAAGCCCACGACACTAGAGAATCAAGCTTTTCAAAACCCTTACCCAGATATTTTAGTTGATCAAGAAAATTTCCAACTCTGTTCTAGGGATCTAAGCACCTTCCTTCCTTTAAGCTGATTATGCCAAGATTTTCAAATGCTGGCTAAAACATACTACCTAACACATTTAAAAATACCTCTCAGGGAATGTAAATTTTGTACAGATATAGATACATACTGTAAAAGTTATTCACTACCTGAATTCCATCCAAATGGAAAAGAATTATCAGGTTCACATAGATCTGTATAGGTTAATATTTTCCCATTTATTCTTTGGACACTCTACTGCTCTGTAAAAGTCCTACATAAAAAACTGGAGGAACCACTGGCCCAATTCAAAATCTACTGAAATCAACCAACCAATTAATGGGAGCCACAGTATTTGGGTAGAGACTACAGTCCTAATCATATGATTGATTCCATATGGAAAAGATTATCCTTCTCCTCCACGCTGAAAACACATACATTCCACCCTCCCACACATGTCCCACTCATCATTGCAGATCAGGATGGTATGTAACTGGACACAAATTTAGAAAAGAAAACTAATTATATAACTAGTATTGAATGCATGAGATTAAAATCATTCAAAACTGAAAACTGCTTTGTCTGTAATCACTTTTATTTATTTTACCCTCAAGTGATATACGTAACAGCAGGTAAACACATTTCAAAGATAAAATCTTCAAAAGTAACTAAATGATACAGGATTTTCAGTTCCACACTGAAAAGAGCCACATTAATCAAAGGTCTTAAGAGCTATCTACACAGATGAGTACAGATCTACCCAAACATCTCCCCACATACTCTGTGCCAGTGGGACATGAGCCAGGTCTGGTCCAAGGCTTCACTAGCGCATTCCTACAACCTTGCCCACAGTCTAGCAGACCCTACGTCTGAGCCTAGACACGATGCCACCCTAATGCACCAGATGTGGTCCATACTCAGCAAGACTCTGCTGATATGTCCCTGCCCTAGGCTGGGCAGATATGTTTTAAATCATACTGGTTTTTTGGTAACATAGCATGCAAATTGTACAAATCCCTAGCTTGTGAAAAGTAGGATTGAGAACTATGTAAGTACTTGGGGGTACAGGAAGATACTTGGTGAGATTCTGAAAAAGTACCTAGTTATCTACCTTCCTCCAATTTCCAGTTCCTCTTTGAATTCACCAAACCTTTGACTAAAACTTTAGGTTCCTTAATAACACTCTTAAACACTTTAAAAATTATACCCAGTATGTTTACTGAAAGATATTCTTAATATATTGCCTAAAATCTTACAGGAAAAAGATCTCTTAATACCTTAGTATTAGAAAACCATTACAGGCATTATCATATTTTGAAATTGACAACCATTTTGACACTTCCCTATATTATTTTCTGAGTAACAGAAACAAAAGTAAAGGTAAAATTATAGCTTCCTTCATAGTCTCAGTATGTCTATCTTAGTTGTTTTTGTTGGTGGAGAGGATGTAATGGAACAAGGAAGAGAGGAAAAATACGAAGAAAGCAGACCAGTGTAAACATTAATACTAAACCAATAAACAAACATGGACAGGTACATTTATCAAAGAATACAGAACTGTTTAAGAGGATGCAATTACTCACATTGCCTTCCAAAAGCTCTTCCAAAGAGCAACCTCGGTGTGACTGCTGGTATTTTTCTTGGAAAAGTTTTCCATCAAACACCTGCCAAGGCATCAAATCATCCATTCTGAATGGAAAGCCACAGGCACTATTGGCCATGAGCAAAGTTGTAAGGCCACGAACAAAGACAGCAGCAAGATGTACACCTCTGGAGTCCACTTGTGCAAGCTGTTCACACAAAAGAAAACAAACCAAAAAAGGCAAGCCTCACAAATCAGGAAATATAAGCAAATCTACCATCACGTATACCCATGCAAACAGCAGAGCAAAGATAAACAGTCCCAAAGTTGTGACAATGACGGTCCTCTATTGAACAGCAGAATTCATGAAATGATCCTGTATCCAGGTTTATTCAATAAAATGGAAGTGAAGTTTGTTTTAATGAATACAGTGTCTTACTCAAGTTTTTAAGACAGATACATTCAGAATGAAAATGGAAAGACAAAATAAATGGCTGTTCTCCATAGTATTTCTGAAGAATGAGCAGTTGCCCAGAAAGAATTCTGCTAGTAGAATGCAAAACATGAACTGGGAGTACAAAATGATGTGTACAGTGATCCATTTGACCTTCCAACATTCGATCAGCCAGGAAATGTTACAGCACTTAAAGATCATTTAAATTTGACAGAACAAAGTTGGTTGTGCCCAGGCTTTTGTTTTAAACACTCTAAAATTTCTTCTGACTGTAGTCTGAAAGTCAAATTATTTCACTTCAACATGGATGTCTCCAGAAGAAATACTGTACCGGTGTGATGACATGCAGAAAACACAAAATGTGAAATTCAACAAGACAATTAAAACTCATGGCCAAAATAAACTTGATGGGTGAATTTAACATCCTGCTGTGGCAGAGCATAGCAAACTATAAAAGCCTGGAATTCAATATGGGGAAAACTGTGATTTTAAGTATTGTGTAAACTGTACAAAGCTCCTCAGTGGGGAACGCCTTTTCCACAGTCTGTACTGAAGCAGTCTGTCAAGACCAGGAAGGATTCATAACAGTGTGGCCATCAATACTGCCATCTGTGGCATTGTTGTACCCTTGCAGTACAGTTTTCCTTACAGTATAAATTGCACCAGGAATGGAACAGCATTCAAAATAGTCTGGAACAGAAAGGACAAAAATGTGGCTCAAGTTTGTCTTAGCCCCAGCTCAAGAGCTGTGAAGTGTTTGCCTGAAATGCAATGGAAAGAGTTGGCCCATTACTAACAAAACCAACATCTTACATCCTGAAAGACCCCCAAAAGACTTGAAGATATGCATATACAGCACCAGTGCCCTATTTAAAAAAATGGCAAGTAATAGCAGAAACATGAAATGTACTAACAGATCAGAACGTCTTCCTCCCTAAGGTCCCCACAAAATCAGGAAATCTTTGCTACCAGCATGGAGCTACAAAGCTTCTACCAAAAGAGACAAACAATAAATCATTTGGAGAAAATAGCTAGACTCTGGTCAAGGACTTAGGTTTTCTGTATTATTACGCAATGAGCTGAAGCCTGTTGCATAATTTGACTATGTGAAACCAGCTTCTGTGATAGGATTCCCCCTAACCACAGGCAAGGGGCAGTAGGGTTCTGTTAAGGTGACTTGAAGATATGAGGTGTACCTCCACTGGCTGTTTTTTCTACAGTGGAAAAACAAAAAGGACCTAGAGATGATGAAGTAGGCAAAAGATACCAGGAAGGGTGGTCCAGAGCCCTCTGGGAAGAACTTCTGCTTCTAGTGATTCCTGGAAAGGCATCAAGCTGGCCGCCAGGGCACTGACCCAACATGACACTCAATACTTGAAATTCACCCAATACAGACAACCGAAGACAACCACTGACATCCAGATAAATGCAGACAACATAAGCAAATTTGTGCAGTCATTTAGAAAATGAAAGGCCCATTCCTTTTCTGACTGTGACACTTCGTACTTGAGTAAAAGAGACCTTCTTCTCCCCACCCTTTAAAACAAAAGTATTTGCAGTATGGGATCAGGCTATTGAGTTTCAGGAAGTTACTGTCTCCAGATGTAAGCTACCATTTTGCCAGCTGACACTAGTAACTACATGCACATTCATAACTCTCTTGCTCTGGCAAGCAAAGCAGGTCTTTGGAAACCATTTAACAATGCTGAAAGGTACTTAAAAGAGGAATGTGGTTTAAGTGAGCCAGTATTACTGGCACTAAAGTAGACTAAGAGAGCACACAGCCGGTTACGTATCTGAGAGATTCTTATGTTGCACTAGCCAGATTGTTTCTGATCACCTGATCAAATCTTAAGACCTGCTAAGGAAATGAGTCCACATCATTACAAGCTTTAAAATGGAATCTGCTTGGTTTGTGATCACAAAGTAAAACTTTATGAGCAGCAAGTGCAAAGAGAAAGAACTGCTGGGAATCCCCAGAATTCCTTTTTTTTATTTCTTTTTTTTTTTTTCCCCTGCAAACTAATCCAGCTAGGGAATTCTTTCAGAATTTATGCATCCTGATCTTGTTCTTAATGCAACAATGAATCAAACTTTAAATAACTTCAATACAATAGAGCATTTTGACACAAGCAGCACAGTTTTCCTCGTAAGCTACAAGGAAAATGGACGTGTTAAGCTACAGTTAGGAGTAGAGGCCAGTGACAGTAGCACACCAACTCTGAATCAAACTTGACCAAATTTATATCAATATGATTTATACCACCAATAGTCTCTTTTGTTATAGATCAGTACAAAACCAGACTGAAATTCCCTGTCAAACAAATCAGTATCTTCTGTCACTGTATTATCAGCAAGTACTGCTAACATCGAAAGATTTAATTGCTGAAAACAAACTTTCATGAAGAATAATTAAAACAAACATTTAAGCTGTTGAAAAAAGTAAATGCTGTCATCTGCAGCAAGCAATTTCCCATCTTCTCATATAATGGCTGTGACCTATATGACTATTAATTTATATCTTTTATAATTTATTGACAAAGATGCTTTTACTGTCCTTATAATCCCACTGGTACCAAGGATATAAAATGGCCTTTTGAACAGATTACTTATACTGTATGTGAATGCTGAATGCCATCTGGGCCATAAACCTTAAAATAAAGCTTTCATATCTTTATTTTATTATCGAACTCTAAGCACAGAACCAACCCAAACATGTGATTAACCCAACTTTCCTCAGTAATGTTATTCAAGTTAGTGCAAAACAAATGCATGCGATTTTGCAGAACAAGTGCCTAAATGAGAATCTGAAACACTGATCTTTTTGACTACACTTGAGACATACTGGTTAAAAAGATATAATAATTTTGCTGCTGACAGGGTTTACAGGGAGAAGACTTCACTGTCTATGGATATCAATCCAGAACTTTCCTAAAGCACTGAAGTATCAGGTGAGGGGGAGAGTATATCAGGTAAGGCTTGTTTTCCAATGGAAATCAATATTAGCAAGACCAAGGCAAGAACTATGAGCAGTGATTTCTTTATTTTAATAAGACAGGAAATACATTCACTAAAGAACAGTTTCTATTTTCCATGTCTGGCAATGAAAAACAAAGAAAATGAAAGCACAGTGAGTCTATAACAATGAGCCTGTGCACATGGCAAACCACAGACTTGCTTTGCCATGGGAATGCTCACAACTGCTTGGTGTCTGCAATGCAAAGACGTCACGATGAGAAGTGGAAAATTCCAAAAGAAAAGAAGGCTTGCCTTCCAGGGCATTACACCCTAGAGATTACTTCTTATTGGAAATTGTGTCTGTTCTTTTTACTATTTTTATAAACTCAGGACCCCAGTGAATCATGTGAGATACACCCCTGTGATCTCGCTGCTGCTACTCCTACCACCAGCTGATGACATTTGTGAGAGAGAGAGACAGGAGTGCGTGAGAACTGCTCCTCCTGCACCAGCTGCCTGCGCTGTGCCCCTGCTGCTGCTCCTACAGCAGTAGCTCCCCACCCTCTCAGCATTTGGGGAAAAAGATTCCTTTTCCTATTTTCCAACATTAACTGAAGACTGAGAAGAGAACTCAAAGTTCACAGTCCTCTAGTATCACTGCAACAGAGGTTACTGACACCATGCTCAGAAGGCCTGAACTGAACTGGGCAAGCCCACTTGAAAAGAGTGAGAGCAGTGCTACATCACCCATATCACTAATGTATATGGGTTTTTTCCTAACAACCTGAGAAACATGTTTGCTAGCAGAGCCATCCTCATAGACATATCATGCCTTTTTCTGCTCTAGAAATACAGTGCTTTAGCTTGTCGACCACAAGTTCAGGCTGATGTCTGTGCTCATGTGCATTCTCCCTGACTGCAGAAAGAGACTCCAGGGAGCAGTTTGCAAATCTAGACCCAGAGACTGTCTATCATGCTGAAGAGCTTTTACTGTCAGGAAGAAAAATACACAGATCTTGTATTTGAAATGCAAATTTCAAGTTCAAATTACATCTAACTAAATAATAATAATAATAAAAAAAAATAATGAGGATGTAAAAATACTTGTATGTTTTAAGGAAATACTACTAGTCCTCCAAATCTTTGTGGATTAACAAGTGATCTTTTTGATAGAGATGTAACTTTATCTTAGGCATTTTGAAAGATGCACAACTTACTTTAAGGAACATACTAAAAACCCCCACAACTCCTTTACCATTCTACAGTACGGAGTTTAGAGGGTTCAAATTCTGTTAAAAGGATGAATAGGTTCTACCACACTTAAAATGTGAGGGCAAGTCTCTAAACATGTCAGCAGACACAGATGAAGGCCAGAACCATACTCGCTGGCAAAGCCACTTCACTATCTTCATTTCTAGAAACCAAGGAGAAAGGTAAATACATGATAATAATTTTACAATTCTTTACTTCTGCTATTTCACACATCATCTGTATTTTGATGCACTGAACACTTCCACTTTAAAACTGGTTCCTTTAGTACAGTTTTCAACAACATTCTGAGGACACACTTTATCAATGAAAAAATTTGGATTAATAATTGTTACTTAGGTTAAAGTTGGTTTTATACAATTTTTTCCTATCTGTTGCGTTCTGCCTGTGGTTGAGCTGAATACTGAAAATATGACTATGACTAACATTTCGAAATATAAATTTTAAAAGAAATAACTTTAAAATTACATAAGGTGTTTTTATCCCACTCCTCCCTTCCTCAGCCCAGCCACCCTCTGTTACAAAAA